TCTGCCCGTGCTGGGAGTGCGGGAGTAAACTGGGATTAACTGGGGAAGTTGCACTGGGATTGGAAGGTCACTGGAAGTGGCTTTTAGTTGGCTTTTTTTCCCCCCCCTTTAATTATGGCTAATTTTTTTATCTTCCTGTCTTTGTATCTGAGCACAAACACAGTGTTGGCTGTATTTAGATTAAGATCTCTATCTAATACCAGTCTTGGCTGCATTCACATTAGTATCTATATCCAATAGCAATCTTGGCTATATTTACATTAGTATCTATATCTAATGCCAATCTTGGCTATATTTACATTAATATCTAACACCAATATTGATTGTATTTAAATTAGTATCTATATCTGATATCAGTCTTGGCTCTATTTATATTACTATCTACATTTAAGGTCACTCTTGGCTGTGTTTAGATTAGGGTCTTGTCAAACCTTGCTGACTTGTGGCAGATGAGGTATGTGATCAATGCCCACTAAATCATTACACCCATCCCTGTTTTTCCAGGTGGGAATACACCATTTACCTGCCTTTTCACTGCAAAATCCAAATAAAATGTCTTAACAACTGAATAAGACATTTTGTCCCCCCCTAAATGAAGTTTTGATTTAATTCTTCTCTTGAGTAGTTCTTTTATACCCTCAGAATCTATGTAGGTTTTACTTACATGGCTTTAAACTGAGAGTTGGTTTAGATGGGAGATTGGGAAGAAATTGTTCCCTGTGAGGTGCTGAGGCACTGGCACAGGTTGCCCAGAGCAGCTGTGGCTGCTCCATCCCTGGGAGTGTTCCAGGCCAGGCTGGATGGGGCTTGGAGCAGCCTGGGCTGGTGGGAGGTGTCCCTGCCCAGGGCAGGGGGTAGCACTGCATGTTCCTCAATGTCCCTTCCAATCCAAACCATTTCATGAGAAACAGGTTTTAATGGTCCAAGAATTCTCTAGGCCATGATTTTCATGGCATATTTAGAATGTCTTCAAGTGCTGCTGATAATTGGATTGATTCCTGTTCCCTATATGGATCCACAGGGCTCTAAGGCATTTCCAGGTCTGATGTGTCCTGTCAGCAGAACATCTGCCTGATTCCAGGTGATCCAGACAAACCTCTTCCTTAAGGAAGTGGCAGCAGCCTTGGCTGGGCAGGGAGCTGCTGGAATAACTTCCTAGCTCCTGCTTTGTTCCAAGGAGTGTGGACACGATCCAGTGATTAAGGTACTTCCATGAGCTGAGTGAAATAGGGTTCAATTTCTTGCCCTTACAATGAGGTCTATATCAGATTAGTCTTAATTCTTGCTGACAGTATCTTGCTAAAGTTTTCCACTTTGTTAAGTTTTATGGGAGAATTGACTTTCTTTCAAAATCCTTGTTGGAGCAGGAATAGTTGTATCCCAGGTGTGGATGTTGTTCCCTGCGTGTTTGTCTCTCTGCTGTGAGGAGCACTGCAAACATCCTGCTCCAAAAACAGCATTCAGCCCTCACTGCAGCCAAACAAACAAACCCAACCAGCCACAGCTGGACCTGATGGAATGGTGTGATAATCCCTTTTTTTTTCCCTCCATGGAAGTGGATCTAGGTTGGATGGCACAGAGTGGCTGAACTGGCAGTGGCTGCATGCAGAGGTGGCTTAAAATCCTTTTGTTTGTGGATTCATCCAGCATTTTTCTGATTCTGGGAGTTTCTTACCAAAAACCTTACCTTGATGTAGTTGCTGTTGTTGTTGATCACCTGCTTGAAAGGAATAGAGACAACAGTTTGGGTTGGGTTTTGTGTCCTAGCAGGAGGAAACTGACTCCTTCAGAAGCATAGAATAGTTGGATATAGAACTGTGCTTTCTTCTCTATCCATAATGTGGCACCTAATCCAGGTGTTCCTAAACCTTAGCATCTCCCTGGAAGAAGATACATACATAGACATATGTATCTATATCCAGGAGAATTCGTGCCAGAAGTAGCAAAGGGCTGAGGGAATGATTTTTCACTATGGAAAATCCAACCATGCATTTTCGCACTGTTCTAAACCAGATGTATGTTGGATTTTTAACCTAAATGCCTTGCAAAGTAGGAGAAAATCAGTTCTGAGCGACTTTCTTTTCCTCCATAAAAATCTATGGATACCTTTTGTTGAAACAAAGAAAGATTAGAGTGCATGGCTTGGCTTTTTGGCACAGCACTTGGCCTTGTGCTGCTGCCAAGTTGAGATGCAGAGCTCTGAGAGCTCCTGGGCTGAGA